CGAGCGATCCCCTCATTTACACATGGTGATGTGCGCACGGGAGCAGCGAGCGATCCCCTCATTTACACATGGTGATGTGCGCACGGGAGCAGCGAGCGATCCCCTCATTTACACATGGTGATGTGCGCACGGGAGCAGCGAGCCATCCCCTCATTTACACAGGGTGATGTGCGCACGGGAGCAGTGAGCAATCCCTTCATTTACACAGGGTGATGTGTAACCAAACACGTCCCAAAAATTACCGTCATTGTCAATGCCAATGGCCCATGTGGCCCCTGCGCAAACTTCCCCACTGGCACCCCCTGTCTGAGACAAAGGGAAATTGGCTTGCTAAGTCGGCATCTCCTACAACAGTGTTTCCCCACCCAGTCCTCGGGGACCCCCACCCAGTCCACGTTTTTGCTCCCTCCCAGCTCCCTATCAGACAGTCCACATTTTTACTCCCTAGAGAGCTGGGAGGGAGCAAAAACATGGACTGTCTGCAGGTGCCCGAGGACCAGATTGGGAAACACTGTCCTAGAAGATGGAACCCCAGGAGGCCACCTATGTCACATAAGGGGTTAATCAGCACCAATCCATGTGCCAACAAAATCCAGTGGCACAGAAGCTCTTTGACTGTTCCACCACATTCAGCTACTGCATCCAGGTCACTGTTATATGCATGCATGAGACGTCCTGCAGCTTGGTCCCTCCCTGGAGAGGCTCAGACCACCCGGGGGCTTCCCATAGACTCCCTGCTGATTCACAGTCTTTATTCAACTACATTCCTGCTTCCATCAGGAGCCTGTAAGTGGTCTTTTGTGAAAAGTACCAGTGGAGGCTGGGATGAAGAAGTTGATGGTATTCGGGGGTCCCGGGCCAGCTTCCGTTTCCGCATAGATCCAGGCCATGTGGTTGCGGCCCTGCTGCCGGCCTGAGAAGGTGTAGCTGTCCGTGCTGTGGTGAACCTCGTATTCTGGGGGCAGCGGGAATGGGGATGTTAGCATGGAGAACAGCTTGGACTATGGGGATGTGTGTGCGTCAGTGCTAGGGTTACCACTGAATCCATGTCGGGGGTGGGGGGGGGGGGACACTGAGCTGGGACTGGGTTTGTAAACTACCATTTCAATTAAAAGGACCTGGATTTCACTTTAGCACTGAGTTCTTGCTGTGTGCTGATTGGTCAGTCTCCAATAGCCACGCATGCATCATTAATGTTAATGTGAAACAGCTGGATGAGTCTTTTAATCAAGGAAACAAACCAGCCAAAGCACAAGAACTGAATTATTTTGTCAAGTACAAGAGCCTTTCAGCTTTAAAGTAGTTTGTTAAGCCTGAATTAGCCCCCAGTGTCCTCCCTGACATGGATTAGGTGGTCGTCCCAGTCAGTGCGTAGGTGAGGTTAGCAACAGACGTGTGGGCAGAATATGCAGACACAATGTGGTCAATTGCCAGAGTGAGGTAGGGACGGCCTAGCTGGGCCGTCAGCTTATGCTGCAGTGCCGTGCGTCAGGCAGCACCTGGTGTTTCATTGAAGAATCCCAGTCTGTACTTCAAGATGACTCCTCCACTCTCGAAGACCGGGATCTTCTGCCAAGTCAAAGTCACCTCTGAGGAGGATAATCTGGACACCTGGAATCTTTTCACTTTTGGAGGAGCTAAAGAATAAATTTGAAAAAGAAAAAAAAAAAAAAAACAGGATAACAAAGAAGGAAAAATTAGAACAGCGTAGAGAAACGGCCATAATTTTTGTCTCGTTTTTGATAATAACAAGACAGCCTGAAATGTAGAGGAATTTTAATGTTGACACAGGCGTACCACTTACCATGCTGGACGGTGTACACAGTGGTCATTGCCAAGAGGCGTCTACGGTTTGAGGAGATGCCAAACAGGGAAAGATTGTATGGGGTGTAATTCCTAAAGTCACCTGCAGGTTGAGCCAGAGACATGAGGGTTATGCTACAGTAAGCAACCCATAGGCTGTGTAGCTAAGAGAAGGAAATGAACCCGGGCAGAAGTTCCGGACAGCTGGGTCTCCCACGAACCTTCCATCACCGTGTCTCCTGACTGATTCACTTTTATCCAGTCAAACCTCTGGGGGGGGCAGACTTCATCAAGCTGCAGCACATATTCATCTACGACCTCCGGGGGCGAATTCCAGGACACCTTGAGTTTCCACTCATGTTCCACCATGGTGACATTAATGGACAGATTGTACAGTGGATCTAAGAGAACAGACCGACGGTGCAAACGTCGTTGCGTTAAGTGTTAATCCGGCTGTAGTGCCTGTAATAGCTACACTTGAAGACCTCTAGAGAGGCAGCCCACCTGGAGTTTGACCAGGGGAGGGGAGGGCCAGATATGTGGGCTCTGTCGCTCCCTTCGAGTTGATGGCAGTGAGGTGTACTGCAGTTACGCTGCGCAGGGAAAGCGGTGACGGGTAAAAGCAGCATCTGCTTCGGTTCTCTGTTACAGCACCCAGGATCCCCTCCATCGGCTTGAGTTCCGCTGCAGAAATGCCCCTGGTCTCATTCTCCATTGTTAATGTGTATCTTGTGACTTCTCCCCGAGCAAGATGCCGGGGCAGTTCCTGGGGCAAGAAATGAGCCGGGGCTGAGAGAGGTAGGGGACCTCGGAGTGTTTGAGCAGAAGGGGGCGACAAATAACAAGTCGGCAATATCATTATGTCTCACACAGAGGGTTTACAGTTTGCTGGTTCTGTTGAGATACCTTCCATACTAGGTTGCAGTCTGCATGGTCACTGGACTCCCCACAATGGATCCACATATCAAGAACTCCGACAGGCGCTGATGTGGTAAAAGAGACAGACAGAATCACAGCATGAATGGTTCTCCATCAAAGGCTTGTGGCCCCTAGAGAGTTGGGCTTTTGAACTGCATTTCCCTTGAGTGAACCAACCTGCTTCAGCGCTCCGCACCATGTAGCTGTTGCTCCAGCCACTTGAGGGAGCCCCGACTACATTTGAGCAACTACATCTGACCTTGAACTCATACATGCTGAACGGCTGCACGTCTTCCAGCATAAATGTGTCCTGGACATCGTCATTGCCCTGGACAAGGAATACAGGGAAGAAAGCGAAATGAAAGTGAAATTTTTCTCCTCAGGATGCGGCACTTTCCATAAAGATCGAGCTCAAAATCACAGCAGAGTCTACTGGACAGAAGCATTCAAAATTCAGTCACACAATTAACTGAAGTCACACTAAAGGCAGCGTCTGGTGTCACAGACTGACAAAGGGTCTCGAGGCTCTTGGGGGTGAGAGGGGAATGCGCCTCACCTTAATCCAGCCTTCCTCACCCTGAATGCGGTACTGAACCTCACAGAGTAACAAGTCCATTTCACTGCATGGAACCTGCCAGATGATTGCCAAAGGCTGCAGTGTGTGGTTTAACACCTCAGGGGCACGAGGCTGTTCTGGGGCAGAAGAAAGAAGGGATGGAGAAAAGGAGGAGATTGAGGGTGTGAGGAGGGGAGCAGGAGGAGGGCTGTCGGTCCGACATCCCCAGCGGGCGGGACCAAGGAGCACTCACCGATGTCAGCGGTGTTGAAGCAGACCTCCTCTCCCACGGAGACGCCCCCGGCAGTGACCCACACACACATGTGCTGATGACTGCGGAAGCTGGCGCGGGGGATGATTCCCCCCGAGTCGCCTGCATCTCTCTTCCTGCTAGATAAACAGTAATCAAATGGGGGGGGGGGGGGTGTGGGCATGTTAAAACAGAAATCAACCCCCGCCATCTCTCTCACACACACATCCTTAAGGGTGTCGGGACTCACCCTGTGTCATCTTGCATCCAGTGAATGACATACTTTTGAGGAGACAGTGACCTGTCCGCAGGCTCCCAGGAACAGTGGATGTCAGGGTCGTCACCATGGGGGATGTAGCACTTGGGCTTCGAGAGAGCGGGGGCTTGGCCGGCAGTAACGGGAGCTGAGATGGAGGGGGGGGGGGTGGCACTGAGTGAGGAGCGGTGCTGCCGTCATGCTCACTACTGAACAAACAGAAGCTATGCAGCTCAAAGGAGGAGGAGAGAAGATCAGGTAATTCGCGAAAGTGAGAGGAAACTGTTTTCACACAATGCTGAGTGACAATGAAAATGGGGCAAGTAACCGTTCCTGTTTCTGAGCATGACATCTTATTTGCTAGGAAGAAAAAGAAAAACCTTGCGATGTCAGTAGCTACAAGACCCAAAAGAGTAAACCCACAGAATTTATACTCAACTGAATTACACGATAAATCAGGCCAGATTTTCACATACATGCCCATTTAATCCTCACTCGTAAATGACAGTACAGTCTTTCCACGGGTAGCTTTTCCCAGCACACTGTCAGAAAAAGGGTATGGCCCTGGTACCCCCCCCCCCCCCCCAAGGTACAAACAACAATAATTTACAAAAATGGTACAAAAATGTTCCTCAGAGTTCATTTCTGTACTTCAAAAGGTACATTTACCTACAGCTAGGGTACAATTGCTAGACCCTTGAGGGTACAGGCCCAATGAAAAGTATTTGTACCTCAAAGGCACAGATTGGACAGTGTAGGGTGGTTAATATGAATGAGATTTTCCCAGTTGAGGAAACTGTTACTCACCTCTGTATCATGAAATGACGCTGATAGTCAATCTTATTGCATTAGTGTAAACACGTTTGCACACTGAGAACAGAAGTCCTTCACCGGCACGCAGGTAAACAGGCGTATGATCAGGCTTTTGCATGGCTTTTTCTCGACAGTAAATCTAGCCCAAGCATGCAGGTCCCACTACCAGCCCACACGCCATTACGCCTGAGGATGTGCAGTCATCTACCTGCCAGAAAATGCACGACTGCACCGAGTGCATATGGCACAGCCTCTGGGTAAAGTACAAATATGACTCTAACCACACTCTCAGAAAAAGGGTAAAAATGTGTACCTTTGCCTGTCACGGGGGCTGTACCCTTGTAATTGTACCCTTTAAGGTACAGAAATGTACTCTTACCTACAGCTAAGGGTAAAACTGGCAGACCCCTGAGAGTACAGCACCATTGACAAGCAAAGGTACAAATGTTTACCTATTTTTCTGAGACTGCATAAGTAAACTACACTCACCTTTCAGAGCATGGCACACCAAAGGCAGAAGTAAGAACACTGTAAGCCATGCCATTTATCAGGACATCTGAACAACTGAACAGAAAAGAAAGAAATAATTACAAAACAAAAAACAAAACAAAAAGATTCAAACCTACTCAGTTTCTAACCTGCAATTCTATATATTCGCATGTGAATTCACAAATTGCTATTCTACAGTAATCGTTTCTTCAGCGATGTTTAAACAGCCCAACATACCACTTTTTTACCTTCCTGTCCAACAGAGCTCTAGCTGATACATCTACAGTCTGCTCATGTTGATTTGATATGAGTTGATAATATTCCATATATAAATATTCGCGTATAAATCGAACCCTTTGAATTATAGCAAAATTTCATTAAACAGGTACCGCTAGATAAAGTCAACGCAACACAATAGTTATATATGTAACTAAGACGAGGCAATGTTTCAGTTAGATGAGGAATTTTTGGACAAGTATATAGTATATTGTAAATAAGAATCAATAAAGCAATTAATTGCAACAAAAATTCAATATGCAATAACACTTTCACGTGCCAGTTCCTGTTTCTGTTAATTGAGAATAATCGCGAAGCCGGTGAAGGGCACAAGATAAAAAAAAAGAAGAAGCTGAACCAGTATATTTTAAATCTGTGGTAAAAGAATAAAATTAATGGAAGGGTACGACCTAGCGGGTGGTTTTAACAATGTCATGCCATTCATTACAATAGTGATGAAAATGCGTTATATTATTTGGAAACAGCAGGACTTCTCAATGGGCTTCTGATGGATGCACTCACCTGCTCCACTTTGCAGACACCCCGGCGCGGCACCCCGACCCACGCCCAGCCACCTCCGCTCGCTGCCTGCAGATTCACCTTCTACACATCTTCCAGCTGCTGGATGCTTCGTCCCTCGCAATCACAGCTGCTTTGTGAGCTTTATAAGGGGGCAGTGTCTGTCGCTCTTTATTCGGAAATATAAACTACTCGTTCGAAGCATAAGATGAAAATTGAAAAGAAAAAGCGCACCCCGTTGAATGTCTATGTTAAAATGCTATTAATGCTATTAAGGGAATTCTATCTCGTTTACACAAAAAAAGTTGTTCAGCTTACGTCACTCCAGAATAGAGTTCCTGGCAGCTCTGCGTCCGCTATCTGCAGCGTGCATGTTCATTAAGCCCTCCTCTTCCTACTCGGCAGTGTCTTAGCGGTCTGCTTTTTCCACTGGGGCGGGGGGGGGGGGTTCCCCCCTTACTGGCGAAACTTGCACAAGTCTTTTTTTTTTTTTTTTTTTTTTACTGGTCATTGAAAAATGACTACAGAAAGTTTAAGACGTATAAACTGTAGTCGGTTGTTGGAGCATCATTAAATTTGTGTCTGAACATTGATGTGCTTTACGGGCATTCCAGCCATCCTCCAACTGTGTATTGAGTACAGAATCAGCACAGGGTGATTTTGGATCAAAGAGCACAGAACAGGCCAGATCATGGCAGGGCACACGCACGCGGATACCGACACAGCAGATACACACTGACACGAGCTCACTTCCGCATTTCCTCTGCATGAGGCCAAAGGAAACCCACGCAACCCAGGGAGATGCAGAACACACACGTGCACGCGCACACACACACACACGCACCCCGTGCAGACAGGATCCAAACTGACAATCCTACAAGTAACTTTCTGATTATTGACACTGTGGGCATCAGTGTTCCTCAGAGTATGATATAAAAAAAAACTGTTACTTTGTCCTTATGGAGACCATTTTTTGGTCCCCACAAAGGGAAATCCAATTTTATAGTCTGTGAATGCATTCAGAAAAATAAAACGTCAAAAGTCGTGTATTTAGTTTGGTTACTTATGGCTAAGGATGGAGCTGGGTAGGGGTTAAGGGTGTCGTGTTGGGATTAGAGTTTTCCCCATAGAAATTAATAGATACAGTATAATTACAAACCTCTGTGTGTGTGTGTGTGTGTAGACACACACACACAACCCCGAGACTGGATAGATAAACTATGCATGACCAACTATTTCTTTATTTGATTATTAAAGTATCTTCTTATTAATTGTAAATTGTGTTGCATTGTTAATTGTGATTCACTTGCTCAGAGTGTTCGGTTTGTAGGCAGTTTAAATGGTTCATTCTTAGGAGAGGACTAACAGTGCTCAGTGGCCAATGTGCCAGCTAACTCACTGAACACAGGACACGAAGCCAAAACAGTTCACAAACGAACGCATGACAATATTTATTAAAATTTGCAACGCGGCCCCCTCCACCCCCCACCCGGCATTCTTTCAACGGCCTCGTTGTTGTGAAAATCACAAAATGACATGAACAGGAACAGGTGCTTCGGGGGCAGTAGTGAAGGAGAGAGAGAAGCAGCTTGCTTCACTGTCGAGGAGCCCAAGAGAGGGGCAGGATGACGGGATGCAGGCTGCCTATATACACAAGCTGCTGATTTCACTCCTCTTGCGAAAAAGAGAGTGGGCGTGGCCCCATGAAGGAGCAGGGGCGGGGGGGGCGGGGCCTCAACACAGGGAGCTGATCTCGCTCTTGTTGCAGCCCCACTTACAGCAGGCGTTGGAGAGCCCTGCCACCACCTCGCGGCCCTTCCTGGATGTGTGCAGCGTCTCCAGCACCTCCCCCGGGATGCCCGAGCGGGGAGGCCGGCTGAAAGGCACTCGCTCGGTCTCCTCCCTCCCCCAGCCGGGGAGCTCAGCCTCAGCAAGTGGCTGGTATGGGAGGCCAAAGACAGAGTCTGGGACCCAGCTGTCAGGGGCCTCGTCATGGTGAGCGGAGAAGACGTCTTGGGTGAGGTCTCCTGGAACAAGGCCGGGGGATCAGAAACATCACACATTATGAAGGAAAGTGACCTGGAAAAAGGGGGACATCCATCCATCCATCCATCCATCCATATTCTGCAATCACTTGTCCTATTTAGGGTCGCGGAGGGGTCCGGAGCAAAGAACAACCCAAGATGGGGAGCCAACCCATCTCAAGAGAGGGCAACAATAACGGGCAATTCAAGGCAGACAGTCTCCATGCTGTAGTGCTATTGAAAAGGGTGTTATGTTAGCATGTGGGTCAGTGGGCTAGGCTTCTGTGCATGTGATCAGAAGGTTGCTGGTTTGAGCCCCAATCTCAGCAGAATAGTCACATGTCTGTGGGCTCCATGGGAGCCGCTACAGGCAGTTGCCCTTTGCTGCCAAGCTTGTTCTCAGCTCTGTGGGTGTTTGTTTGTCATGGTGAGAAAGATGAGGTAGGTGAAATTTCCCCAAGGGGACCAATAAAAGCATTATTATTATTTGCTATCTGAATATTGCATATCTGATCCTGTCCTTTTTTGGACATCGATGCACGTAAAGCAAAGAGAGCAAAGCTTGGGGTATAAGCACACAGTTGGCCATGCAGCATTTCTCATGGGGTTAAGCACCTCGCTCAAGGGTCCGACAGAAATACAGCAAATTCACCAAGAATGGGATTTAAACCAACAACCTTCCAGTCAGGCACAGCCCCTCAATAGCCAACTCTATGAATGGGTAAAGTTAAAAGTTTATAAATACATAATCTGATAAATAAAAGGAAATGCATCTATCACATTAAATTGAAATGCGATGAATAAGACGTAACGATCGAACGGAAGCGGTGCATTCTGTCTCACCTGCACCGCCGGCTCGCCGCCAGCGCGAGCCGCCGCAGGTGAAGATGACGGCGCGGATGAACTCGCGGCCGCACAGCTTGACGCCGAACGTTGGGTTCCCCTCCGCCGGTAGCACCAGGGACACCAGGAGGCAGGTAGCGAGCACCGCGGATTTCCACATCACGGCAGGATACCAAGCGGCGGGAGATCGCTGAGCAGGTTTGCTCCTCTCTGCCCTCCAACGTCGGTGAGCGCTGTGGCTCCCAGGTGCCCGGGGCCACATTTATGAGGGACCCCCGAGCTCCAGGGGGCCAGCGCGTCACCCACACACACTCATCGCCACACCGGCAGGGAGACCTTTACTCAGACAAAGGCACAGGGACCTTTTCAGCGACCACGTTAGAGCGTAGGATGCCGTAATTAGTTGCCACTGCCCGCATATGGAGTGATGTCACGGTTTGCTGTAATCTGATCAGCAGAGACATTTGTATCCCAAAACAATATTTTTTCTGTTTCCATTACTTCCCAGTACTATGGGCAGAGATATCAAAAAGGTCAGATTAAGCACATCACTTTGATGTAATATATAAACATTTCTTTGACCAAAAACTACACTCCCTCCTGGTGTAATCCCAAGGCTGAGAACTCGCTGTGAAAATCACTTGTAGGCTGTCATACTGAACGCTATCAGTGCAGCCGGGTGATTAAGTGAGTGGGACTGCTGCTTTGAAATCCGCTCCGTTCGCGGTGCATAGTTTTGCATGTTCTCAGCCACAGGCCAAAGATTAGGTGGCGTGCCCAGATCGGGGGCAGTGTGTGGTTCAGCGGGCTAAACCTCCGCACCTGTTATCAGAAGAGCATCAGTTTGAACCTAAGAACATAACAACTATACAAACGAGAGGAGGCCATTTGGCCCATCAAGCTCGTTTGGAGAGAACTTAACTAATAGCTCAGAGTTGTTAAAATCTTATCTAGCTCTGATTTAAAGGAACCCAGGGTTTTAGCTTCCGCTACACTAGCAGGAAGACTATTCCATACTCTAACTACATGCTGTGTAAAGAAGTGCTTCCTCAAATTTGTTTTAAAATGTTCTCCCGCTAATTTCCACTTATGGCCACGACTTCTAGTATTTAAACTAATATTGAAATAGCCAATTGACTGAACAGCATCCAGACCCATTAGAATCTTATAGACCTGGATCATGTCCCCCCTTAGTCTCCTTTGCTCAAGGCTAAACAGATTCAGCTCAGCTAACCTCTCCTCATAACATCCATGGATCCTTAAGCAAAGCCCTTAACCCACAGCTCTCTGGCTGCTGTAACGGGTGGCTGTCTATTACAGCCAGCTTGTTCTCATCTACAAAGTGGGAGGTTAAAGAGGATTTCACCACCTACTTTTCTAAATAAATAAAAGTTGGGGCAGTGGGTGACTCAGCAAGTCAGGCCAAGATCAGAAGATCACTGGTTCAGATCCCAGAGGTGGCAGAGTGATTTTGCCAATGGGCACCTGAACAAGGCCCTTAACCCCCAGTTGCTCCAAACAAGGGTAAACTGGGATTTAAAGATTGGGCCTGGAATTTGGGATTCTCCCACAGTTGCCAACCAGCATGGGGCAAAGTATGTTTCACTGGCTGGGGGGGGGGGGCACTACAATACACACAGTATCCAATCATCCATTTTCCAAACCACTTATCCTTTGTGAGTCACAGGGGGTCTGGAGCCTATCACAGAAACTACAGGCACAAGGCAGGGAACAACCCAGGGGCCAGCCCATCACAGGGCACCCTCACACATGCACACTCACACACGTGACCCAGGCTGAGACTCTAACCCAGGTCCCAGACATGTAAGGCAACAGTGCTAACCACTGCAGCACCATGCCACATTACACACACTATGTTTTACATTTTGACAACTGGCTTGTGGGGGTGGGGTCTTATAGGCCACGATATTCTTTGCTGACCTACATACCCATCAGGTCAGCCGGGGGGGTGGGGGGTGGGGGGGTCCAGGTACTGTCTCCCTTCTCAATGATACGTCGATTTGGAAAAAGAGTGTACTAAGTAAATTAAATGTAATTAAATATAATTCTTCAAGGTGGGTGGAAGGTGAGTAGACAGGTAATGCTACCTATTTGCATTAATAGTATATTTTCATAATTAGCTCACAGTTCCATCTACAGGTGTAAAAGTTCCCCTATCGCCAATCGTTCCCCTTCCAGAGTAAAGAAGATGTGAAATCATTCTCACCTCAGGTGCACTATGAAGACTCTCTCTTTCTCCTGCAGCCTCACCTCTCTGTGAAATAGGCCATGATGTGTAGATCGGATCTGCGGCAGTTGTCACAATGCAGTGCGAGTGCAGGTGACATTTCCACTGACAGATTACAGGAGCGCATATTGTATTAGGAGGAAACGTCACCATGACCCTATCTTCTCACTCCTGGTGTTAAAGGTCTCTCATTTCCAAAATGACAATGAAATTGTAATTAATATCTTGATGCCACTGCAATAGCGTGGCATTTTGGCAGGGGACTGATTTCACATTGTATGCGGGGGAACTGGGGAGAGGTTAAATGCACAACATCTACTCACAACAATGCTGTATCATTGTTTTCATCATTTTCTCATTTCTGAACGTACACAGAATCACAGCCTTTGTAAGCAGTCACAGACTTTATTGAGTTAATGTAATTTAATCAGTTTAAAATGCCGTGTACATTAGAAATTTTACATTGAGATATGTTCGAACCAGAGTAGTTTTTCATTTAACCGATGATTTCTAATACCTGCCAACACTGAATTGTGATCAAATATCAATTGAAAACAGGAAAAACGATGCACTGGGACATTTGGGTAGTTGTTTCTGTTAAGACAGTGATACAAATCTCATTTCTCTCATTCATTATTTTCTATACCTCGACTGCTGGGTGACTTATGAAACAGTACAATACTGAAAACCACCTTAGGTATGGAACACAGGTGAGGATAAAGACTCAGACTGCCTGTACGTTTCTGAACCATCATTACGGTTACCTAAATGAATTTTTTCAGGAAATACAAGGTTTAACAGGTACACAGTGGTCTTCGACATTTGCCTAGTAGCTTAGTATTTGTTCTTCGTATTAAAACATGCCCGATATTCGTAACAAATTGACTGCAAGAATTTGTAACTGACAGCTATATAACCCAATTGCTATTGGGAGAAAAGGCGTGTTCTGGTTGCGCAGTAGCTACTGCTGACTGGCAGACAGCGATTACAAATGAGATGAACGATTCTTAATTGACACCTCTAGCGGACCTATCGACGATAGACAAGTTACGACGTGTTGTTCCGGTCGAGCCAATCGGAGGGAAAGGGAAGGCGGTGCAAAGAGCGGGTGGGTAGCAACAGTTGCCCCGGTGAGGACGAAGCGCCATAGCCACGGTAGTCCTGGCGACAAGAACCAAGCAACGAGAATCAACAACAACACGATTCTTAAAAAAATAATAAAATACAAAATACCGGGTGAAAATTCACAGGAATTTAGAGGTGAAATAACTTATTTTACTTGTTAGATGTCTAAGGTTTCTAATGAAACAAATAGCAAAGGCTGTTGTTTTTTTTTTCGTTTTGTGTTTTCGTGTCATGTTAGCCAAAAGACGAACTGCTCAGCTAGCGACCAGGCTGACCGGGCGGAGAGGTCCTCTGCGGAGCTCAGGGGTCAAGGGACGGCACGCTTAGCAAAGCCAAAGTCTGAGTATGCTGGCGATTGGTGTTATTGTGGCACAAAATGGCGGGTGCTGGATACACGAATGCACAGTACTTTTAGTTGTGACGGTCGGCTTTCACAAATAAAAAAGAGTCGCCGTCGCGTTTCGGAGAGCTGCAGCATGCCAGGCACATCGTGCAGCCCAGAGGGGATCCTCGCAGGCTGCCTCCGAGCTCCGCTTTCCGCGGCGGTGGTGTGTGACACAGCCTTGTGTACTTGGTTACGCTGCTGTCCGGACCCGTCTTGTCCAAGTGATTGTTGCCTCTTAAACATTTTGAAAATAAAGTAGTGCGTGCGAGAGACCAGCCCTGGTCAATGGCGGAATGGCTTAAAGGGGCTTCATCAGACCGACTGACAGGGGAGTGCGAGGCGCGTTTCCGCGGCAGGGGACCGGAGGGGCGTGTCTGACCCCGGTGGCCTAGCCGGGGCTTTCTGCCGGAGCGGCGGCGGCCGCTATAGCGCCGGTGTTCTGTCGATATATGCTGCCTTGTCGAAAAATGCTACCGTAGTGCTAATCGATAGCCCTAACCCTAACTCTTACCCTAACCCCCCAAAACCCCTAAAACCCTTACCTTAACCCCTAAAACCTAACCCTAACCCTAATCCCAAAACGGTGGAACTGCACATGCGCAGAAAGGCTCCAAAGCACGTCTCGATAGGTAGTATTTTATGACAGAACGCCGGCACCTCCGGGAAAAGAAGTGAACTACGCTTCAGAGATGGCGTGGAGAGCGCGGAAAGTTTAGTGAATATTTACCCGTGGACTTGTTGGTTGCCTATTAAAAATGTTTCACTTATTAACTGCAGCTATTGAATCCATTACACTGTAATAGGTTAAGTAATGTGCTTTCGACATTGTTACTGGGTACTTTTTAGTTTAAAGTCCCTTTAGAGTTGTTACCGAGTGCCTTTTGGCGACTTTTTTCCCCATCATAACACTTAAAAATGTCCAAAAGATCAAGAATCGAAATATTACAGAAAAATGGCATTAAAGGCTTTGTGATAAAGTTTGGGATGTGTACAATATAGGACGCGTGGTTTTACATGCAAAAAAGAGTGGTAACATGCATGATGGGGTGAAAACTGTTTAGAAAGACCTCTGCTGACAGTAGGAACACGCCGCTGCCCGCAGCGATCTCATCTCAGAAGCCTGCGATCATCTTTCAAGTAACAGGACACCAGAAGTTCGCTTCCTTCTGTGTGCAGACCCATCACCCCCCCTGCTTCTAGGGCATGCATCCATCCATCCATCTCTCACCTCTGCACCAACCTGTAAAATTAAGTTCACTGAAAGCACAGTAATGCAATGGATTCGTGCCGTCGCCTCTGTTATAAAAAGGCTTTTACTAATACCCACAGTAGCCGGTTTGTCTGGAACCTATTTGTAACGGACCTCATAGTGAAAGACAGATACTTCCATTTACGTTTCCTTCTGAACGCGTGCATGTGTTCTGACGCTTTCTTTATTTCCCAGTGACCGTGATGGCGACTCCAGGCTACGCGGGGGAGCTGCAGCAGGCCTCGCAACCACAGGGTGGCGCTGTGGGCGCAGCTCCCGGGCAGCCCTCGACCGCTCCCCCCGTAACACTCCCGGGTCCGCCTCAGTTTCTGACCGACCTGCAGACCGGCGCCGCCGCCCCGACCACCACTCCGCCGGCCGGACAGAGCACGCCGCCCACCCCCGCAGCCGCTCCCACGCTGCCGAAGAGTGTGGCGGCCGCCCCCACCACTCCGACGCAGTACGTCACTGCTGAGATCCAGAGCTCCCCTGCACAGTCCAGCAGCGGTCAGGCCGCAGCCCAGTACATTGTGGTGACCGTCACAGGTATGGCGCTGGAAATGCACGCAAGCCCTGACACGTGCGTACGGCGCGTGGCTTTGGCCAGGCTGCAGGTCGTGTGAAATCTCCACTTTGGTGTGATTACCACCCCTCACTTTCTGTTCCTCAAATCAGGCACGACCAAACAGGGAATGGGCTGCTTGTTTACTGGCGGGATGCCAGTCATCTTATTGCGGCTGCCATATATTATACAAATTCATTGAATAAGTCCATTTGCTTGTTCTGATTAAATGTACCGCTCATCTCTACGCCAAAGTGCTCAATCTGTCTGCTGCTTATTATGCAAAAACGCTCGTTTGCATTGTTTTGTGTGATTTGGTCTTGTTTTCAGACTGAAAGAATTCAGTGCTCAGATCTTTAGAACTTCACAATACAAGTTGAGGAGCATTTATGAGTGATGAAATAAAATATTAATCCAGCTTTTTTGACCATGAAAGGCAATTCATATAGAATGAAAAAGATTAAGTAAGACTATTCTTCTGACAAATACTGAAAGAAGAAAATTTTAAGTTTTAAATTTAAAGCAAAATGAATCATTTGTGCGTCCCAGGTCAGAAATATGAATTTATCTTCCGTTACTCTCTGAACCTACCAAAACCAAGGCCGCCAGAACATAAAATCAGTCAGTTTTTCACTGAAACCTTCACAGCAAAATTCAATCGGTTCACTTATGTTAAAAGTATTTGTATGACTTTGTTGCTCATAGAAACTGAAAAGATGAGTGTAACTTCCTGACTTTGGATGTACGCTTGTCAAAGTGATTTGCTGCTGTAGTGGAAGACCTGATTCAGGCTACGAAACCACAACACACCCTCAACAGAGCCAGTGTTACCATAGAGATAACGACTTTGAAGCAAACTGCTGGGGAAGATTTCCACGAAAAAGCAGCATCTTCATGTATCTGCTGATGTGACTCCTGACACATTGACCACAGACGCAAGGCGCTCTGCACTCCAGCGACTCCGTCTCGGATCACAGCCCCCCCGCAGCGCCGGTGCAGACGGGGGTCCCCACGCAGGTGGTGCAGCAGGTGCAGGTAAAGACCCCAATTGCCGCACAGCTGGCCTGGAAATCGCGCACCCCCCCCTTCACTGTCGGTCCCTCCTCACTTTCAGTGCACACTGCAGTTATTAGCCTCTTGTGTTACAATGTTCTTACAACGGGGAGGGGGGGGGGTTCTCTCCTTGGTTGTTTTTGTTTGAACTAGACGACTATACTGGTGTTCAGTCAATTCATGATGTCTGTGCCCTCCCTGCACCACCCCCCC